GTAAAGAGGAAAAGAGGGAAAGAGGGAAAGGAAAAATCAGTTAGTCATGCCACATATAGTATGCTCTAACCACATAAAGTGTCATACTGTACACTCAAATCCAAAGCCAATTAGAGTCTTGAAGGGATGGCTCAGTCAATATTACTACAGCTCTTTTTGGTTCCAAGCCACTGAAATAACTGCTTATTTTTAGGAAATTGCATCTCAGTGAAGCTTAGTAACACCCGCAGTTTGTTGGAGCAAGAAGAGCATGCTCAACACAGTGCAAGAACGCATCAGAAGTACTTCTGAAACCCTCTAAATTAAAGGGTTTAATTTAAAAAATTAAAACTGAAAACTGAGCTTGTTATTCTACATTGCAGGGGGTTCATAGTGTAGAAACCAACCACACCAGCTAGGAGAACGCAATGCAAAATTAAGCTCATTGTTTACATGCAGTAACAGTATTTATCATCTAAGTAAATAGCTCACAAAATACTTAAAGGCAACCACAAGAACGGTTGACTCTAAACAGGAGTGCAACATTTAGAGTCTAATCCACTGAGTCAGAGAAGAAGAGAGGGAATCAATAAGAGCAGTGTATTTTATGTAGCTCAGAAATTCAGTTATCAAATTTTGGCTGGAAAAGTCTAAACCTAAAAAAACCCACTGACACAGATATGCTAACTTCATTTTCCTCAGCTGTGAGGGCTACCCTACTCCCTTACTGGTTTCCATGGAAGCTGAGTGTGTTGGGTTGACCCTGGCTGGACACCAGGCGCCCACCCAAGCCGTTCTGTCCCTCCCCTCCTCAGCTGGACAGGGGGGAGAAATTATAACAAAAGGTTCATGGGCCGAGACAAGGACAGGGAGAGATCACTCACCAGTTACTGTAATGGGCAAAACAGACTCAACTTGGGGAAATTAGTTTAATTTATTACCAATCAAATCAGAGTAGGGTAATGAGAAATAAAACCAAATATTAAAACACCTTCTGTCACTCCTCCCTTCTTCCCAGGCTTAACTTTACTCCCAAATTCTCTACCTCCTCCAGCCCCTAAGGGTCACAAGGGGACAGGGGATGGGGATTGTGGTCAGTTCATCTCACATGGTCTCTGCCACTCCTTCCTCCTCAGGGGCAGGACTCCTCACACTCTTCCCCTGCTCCAGTGTGGGGTCCATCCTACGGGAGACAGTCCTCCACCAGCTTCTCCAAGGTGAGTCTTTTCCATAGGCTGCAGCCCTTCACAAACTGCTCCAGCCTGGGTCCCTTCCACAAGGTCAAGTCCTTCAGGAACAGACTGCTCCAGCTTGGGTCCCCCATGGGGTCACAAGTCCTGCCAGCAAACTTGCTCCATTGTGGGCTCCTCTGCCCACAGGGCCACAGGTCCTGCCAGGAGCCTGCTCCAGTGTGGACTTCCCACAGGGTCACAGCCTCCCTTGGGCATCCACTTGCTCCAGTGTGGGGTCCTTCCCAGGCTGCAGGGGCACAGCCTGCCTCATCATGGTCTTCACCACAGGCTACAGGGGAATCTCTGCTCCAGCACCTGGAGCACCTCCTCCCCCTCCTTCTTCACTGACCTTGGTGTCTGCAGAGTTGTTTCTCTCACATATTCTCACTCCTCTCTTCAGCTCCAGTCACCGTTGTGCCCTTTTTTTTCCTCTTCCTAACTGTTATCCCAGAGGTGCTGCCACCATTGCTGATGGGCTTGGCCTTGGCCAGCGGTGGGTCCGTCTTGGAGCTGGCTGGCATTGGCTCTACTGGACATAGGTGAGGCTTCTAGCAGCCTCCCACAGAAGTCACCTCTGCGGCCCTCCCTCTGCCAAAACCCTGCCACGCAAACTCAATACACTGGATCAAGCCATAAAGTCACAACCAAAAACATATACCCAAACTATACTTCACTGTCATGCATGGTAATAAAGCCTCCTTGAGTCCTGCAAGCACAGTCATATTTCTTCCTGTACTACAGTAGTAAGTCTTATTGCTAGCACCTGATAAAATATTGTCTCCAGGAGCATTAGCAAACATATGATGACAGGCAATAGAAAGCCTTGTGTTATCCATCATTACAAGTTTAATAAAATCTACCCAGAATATGAGTTCTTGATAAATGATAGAAAACCTGCATCAATCGCTATCTCTTTTACATCGAACTGTCTTGCAGTAAGGCTTTCTTGGAGAAGAAGATCATCTGATTCCCTATCAACACAAAAACTTGATGAACAATATTATGTTTTTCGTTTTAGGCTGAAAATCTAATCAGTCTGTATATATATTAAAAACACAATGAATTTTTATTTATAGTATCAAAATGTGACAGCAAATGCATGAGACCATACCAGTGACTTGCTTTGTTTTAAAG